TGCTGAAGGCTCCGCCGCGCGGCCCAGGGTTTGCCCAGCCCCGCCCCAAATGTGACCTGGATTCTCCGAGCCCGCAAAGCCCCACGCGCCGGTGTGGTTTGTCCCAAGAGTGGACACCCCTGGAATCAGTTAGCTAATGGCCAGACGCTGGCCCCCAACTGGGCCCCCACAGCAGACAGAGTGGGCAGGAAAGGAGGGTCATGGAGGAAGGCATAGAAAGGACAGAGGATGTTGGGGGGCTCGACGGGGAGACAGGTTTGGAGCCAGGTGTGTGAGTTCGCAGGTGCACAGGCAGTTGGGCACGGCATTAGTGATGTCACTGCTTAAGACTCAGTTTTCTCATCTGTGAAATGGGGATGATCCCTCTCGTTGTTGTGGTGACAGGACATACGAGAAATGGCGAGGTGAGGGCTAGGTGTTCCCAGCTCCCATGGACAATGCAGGCCTCACCTCACTCCTGTCCTCTTCCTTTGTGACGACCCTCCCACGGACTTTCCCTAGAGTGTGTCCTTGATAAAGACTGGCCCCAGACTCCTTTCAGCTGCAAGCAGCTGCTAATGGTAAAGTGAGCCCTCCTCTTGGCTCCCTGAGCCCTCCTCTTGGTTCCCCGGCCACCCCGCACTTCCTCCTTGATGGCAGGACTTCCCCAGCACCTAGCACCTCAACTGCATTTCCTGCAGAGCTCCCCTCATTTGCACCGATACCCCAGGTCTGGCTTCTCCCTTCCTAAGGGACCTTTTCCCTTGAGCCTGTTGACATCTTGGAAGTCTTTTAGTTGTCTCTCTTCTCTCCACTGCTGTTGGGTTTTCTCCCAGCCTTCTTTTCCCTGGAGAGGGTTAGTCCTGGCCCTGGCGGCATTGTGTTCTGGGATCAGGTCCTCTCATGAAACACGGACTGCCAAGGCCAAGGGCCCTGGCTTTGGTGGGTCACAGAGGCCCTGCCAAATCTCACTGCTTGTCTGGCCACCTGAGAGAATGGCAGACCCTGCCCTGCATGGGCAGAAGGGGCAGAGTGAATTTCATGGCCTGGGGAGTCCTATTTGCAATTCTCAACTGCCAACTGGTCATGCTGGCCCCATTCTTTCACGTGACGCTCGGGAGCTGCAAGCACCTGCACGCCAGCCAACAGCACCCTGCTCGTGCCCTGAGAACATACCTAAGGCCTTGGCTGCCTCTGCTCCTTGCCACTGGCGCCAGAGGGGTGGTCACTCTACTGTTTCTGCTATTTTGGCTCAAGTCCCTTGCACGAGGCCCTCACAGGAACCATCTGCCATGGTGGCGCCTGTCTTTTCCTCTCAGGAACGCACCTTGCTGGCTATCATGGCTAAGAACACACACTTGTCTCAGCTAGGGAGCACCGGCAGGAGGGCAGGAGTGTGTGCATGTCCAAGACAATCCATCTTCAGAACCTTTGGTCCAGAGCAAAGGTATCTCAGCACCTAGGGCCATGCCAAAGCCACACAGAAGGTGCGGAGAGGGAGGGGCAAGGCCAGCAGGGTGTCAGAGCAGAGCCAAGAAATGAGAACACTCGAGTCAAGTTCCTTCTTTCTCCCGCTGTGCAGGGCAGACTGGTTCTTTTTGGCTGTGTCTGAATCCCTTCCCCACAGAAAGCCCATGCACATGGTACTCCAGCCAGATGGCATGAGACAAAGCCAGCACCCAGGCCCCAGGCGGGACTGTGACAATCCCAGCCATGTCATCAGGGCCAGAGGGCCCACATGCCCTCCTCAGCACACCGCTGTCGCTTAAGCGCTGCACTGAGGTAAAGAATGGGCCGCAGTCCAGCCAAGATCTGACCCCAGCCTTGGAGGGCTACGGGGGCTGCGATGCTGGGTCATGGCAGGGTGGCACTAGGGAACCTCGTCCCAGGCCGGAGTGCTGTCCACCGCTCTGCTCCAGCAGGACCTCGCAGGGCACTTCCTTGCTCCAGGGAGGAGTCAAAGGCTCCTGGCTCCAGCAGAACCAAGATGGGGTGGCCCAAAGCTTCATGCAGGCTCAGCCTTCCCAAGCCCCGGTCCCCAGACCTCCCACTGATGACAGCACAGCTTTGCTCAGACAGGATCAGAAGTTTATAAAACAAGTGAATATTCACAAACAAACCGTGGGAGAAACACACCTTCCCAGCAATAGAAGATTTCTATAAAGTGCACTTTGCCTGCGACCATCTCTTCCCCACACTGGTCCTTGGATGAAGGTCTGGGGCATTGCTCTGCGGCAGTCCCCAGGGCCACTTGGGCCAGGGACGGAGGCCCGAGCCATCATGGAGCTACGGGCCACCACGCCCCACCCCACAGCTCCAGGAGTGGACGATTCCATTGCACTGGAAGCTTGTCCTGGGGACGGGCCAGCCTGCTGGGAATGGCAGAGGGGAGTTGGTCTCGCCAGCCTGTACCGTAGGGAAGAGAGCCATCCAATAGGCTGGAGAAGGGAATCATCTCACTAGCTGAAGGTGCTGCTAAATAAATACTGAATCTGGCCCTCAACCTTTGACCTTCCGGGCTCACACCACTCTTCCTCTCCTGGCTTGCGCTGAGGGAAGGAAAGCCCCACCCAGCGCTCTGAAAACACCAGCACCTACGGCGTTTCCCCCACGCGAGCACAGGACATTTCTGGTGAGGGTGACACACATAACAGTAGGACTCTAGAGGCAGCTCTCTGGCTGAGAAAACCACAGGCCATCTCAGGAAGAAGCCTGTCAACGTGCTGCACACTGAGGAGACAAGAGCCTGCCCCAGGGCTCTGGTCTGAGGACAGAGGACAGTAAGGGTGGGCAGTGGGAGTTAACAGCTGAGGCTGGAAAGGTCACAGGGAGGTAGAGGAAGAGGCCCAGAGGCTAGCTTAATGTTACACGTGAGAACAATCCAACAGGAATCAGCCTTTCAGCTTTACGCGCACGCGCACACACACACACACACACACGCACGCGCGCACACATTGTGGCTCAAGTGCAGGCCATGGGGTGGAAGGAAGACTTGCTCTCGTTGGCCACACAGTCCTCAGTGCTGCTCTCGACACAGGCCTGTGACAGCTGGGGGGAGTGGAGGCGGCACAGGCCACTCCTGGAGTGTAGGCCTGGCTGCTTTGGTGCAGACCCGCCTACCGCTTCTGGAAGGGACGGTGTGCTGGTTGTGAGCACCACACAGACTTCTGCCAACTCCCCTGGCAGTGCCCACTGCAGTCCCTCTGTCTGAGCCCTGGGGGCCCAGCTACCGGGACAGCTGACACGGCAGCTTGGATGCGGACCAGCTCGCAGCAGGCCCTGGAAGCCTACAGAACAATGACAAGCTGGCTTCCCTGGCCGGCGGTCAGCTGTCCTCACTGAGCACCGTGGGGCCACCTGGCCTAGGCTCCTGGTGGAGGGCCCGCCTGGGACCCTGGCCCCTGCACGGCTCCTGCGCAGGCTCTGACGCTGGCTTTCAGCTTCTGGGAGGAGAACAGTGACAGCTGGGATTCTATTCCTCACCTTGGGGTCCAGACCTGAAAGTGCGTATGTGTTCTTAGGCTACTACACCAGTCAGGCATCTGGGTGTACCTCCAGCCAACAGCAGACTTTTCAGCTCTGTCTATAGCCTCGTCCTCAGTCCCAGATGCCCAAGGAAGAGGCTGCAGGACCAGTGGCAGAGGATTTTAAACTAAGAGGACAGCCAGGTGGCTGTACCTGGATGGCACCCACCCATTCCATCCTGCCCACCCTCCTGCGTTGGAGAGCGGGGACTCAGCAGGACTCTGGCTGCCTCTAGAATCCTGTGCTTCCGACAAGAGCAGGAACGCGGCGCTTCTGCTCCTCGGCCTGATGCAAAGAGAGGGGGCCCAGCAGGGTCGTACCACGACATCCTACTCAGACAAGGCTGCAGGTCACGGCCATGACCTCTAGCCTTGTGCCTGGAGGCCAGGTGGGCTGCTCCAGGCACTCCTCCAGCCCAGGCAGCACTCAGGATCGTGAGAGTGTAAACACACGTGCACACACAGACAGCACACACCTGCTGCACGCGCGCGCGCACACACACACACACACACACACACGCTCGCTCTGTCTTGGTCGGTGACCAGCTTCTCTGTGGGTTGCACTCTGGCCACGGTGGCTGCTCGGGCACCCAGGTTTTGCTCACGGAGCGGTGACTCTGCAGCTGGAAGAGAAAAACAAGAGCAAAAGGAACATTCAGGAGGCTGCTCAGTTGCCCAGCGACACGAGCTCCTCTGGCTGCTCCCCTGGGGACACTGAAACTGGGAAGTGGGAAGAACTGAAGAGTGTGCTACGCAGGCCCCTGGGGACAGGCGGTGACTGAACACTGCCCCTTCCAAGTGCCAGCGCAGGACAAGCTCTCCCCTGACACCCTCCACCCACGGTCGAGGGCAGCAGAGGAAGACAAGGCCACACGGCACTCACTCGAAGCCTTGGGTGACACTTCTCAGATATAATAAGGGCAAGCCGCTGCTGCCAGAGATGGAGAAACAGAACAACAACGGCCAGGAGAGAAGCCAGCCGGGACCAACAATTGAGAAGAGTAAGGTAGTGACTGAGTTTAGAACCAGCAGGCGGGCAAATTTCCGTATATAGATAAAAGAACCATGGCACAGTGCTGGAGGAAGAGGAGACACAGGATGACTCACTGGAAAGGTTTCCAACAGCCTGAATCTGGGGCAGAGGGACGACACAGCCTCATCGCTGGTAACAGAGGACAGGGTAACCCCGGCACGATCCCAGGCTGCCTGTTTACACAGGCCCCGTGTGTCCGGGAGGCTGCAGAGAAGCAGCGCTCCCCTCAAAGTCTGCAGGCTGCAACACTACGATGCTAGGCAGGTGTCTGAGCCTACTCGTACTGCGCGCCTGTACGAGCCTGACTCAGGCCCCTGCCCTCGATTCCAAGTCCTAACCCCGTACCTTGGGACGCGACTGCACCTGGAGATAGGCACCTTTGTGTGTGTGTGGGGGAGGGTGCTGGCGACTGAACCTAGGGCACTGCGCGCTCTAGGCAAGTGCTGCACCAGGTACACCCCCAGCTATTTTAAGAAATGACTTCGAGACAGGGTCTTGCTAAATGCCCAGGCTGGCCTCCAGCTTGCAATCCTCCAGCCTTGGCCTCCTGATTAGATGGGATCACAGGTGAGTGTGAGACAGGGTCTTTAAAGAAGCAATTAAGGGGGCTGGGGATTTAGCTCAGCGGCAAA